GGAATTCTGTGGAATTCTTGTGTCTGAGTGAGAGCAGAAGGCGCTGCTGCACAGATCCCTGGAATTCCCCTTTCCCCCCTGAATTTTGGGTCCGTTTCTCAGGAATTCCTCAGAATTCCCACCCCACCAGCAAGACCTGAACCAGTTGGTTCCCCAACCCCCGGAATTCCCCTTTCCCCCCAAATTTTGGTGCCGTTTTTTGGGAATTCCTCAGAATTCCCACCCCACCAGCGAGACCTGAACCAGTTGGTTCCCCAAGCCCCGGAATTCCCCCATCCTGATGGATTTTGGTGCTGTTTTTTGGGAATTCTGTGGAATTCCCACCCCACCAGCGACACCTGAACCAGTTGGTTCCCCAACCCCCGGAATTCCCCCATCCTGATGGATTTTGGTGCCATTTTTTGGGAATTCCTCAGAATTCCCACCCCACCAGCGAGACCTGAACCAGTTGGTTCCCCAACCCCCCGGAATTCCCCCTTCCCCCCAAATTTTGGGTCCGTTTCCCCCCATCCCTTCCCTCAGCACCGAGCGCCAACCACCCGACTCCCATTAACCCCTCCGTGACCAAACCACCAGCACCACCACCATTCCAAGGCGATTTATTCCCAACTGGGGATCTCCATCCCCCCAAGCTCCTCTGCTCAGGGCGCCGCGCGGGCGAGGCGCAGCGTGTAGAAGGCCCAGGGCTCGGGGACGTAGATGGGCCCCGGGTACCTCCTGCGCAGGACGCCGTCGTGCCACAGGCAGCCCACCCAGGCGCCCACGAGGAGGAGGCCGAGGAGGAAGGAGAGCAGCAGGAAGCGCCCGTTGCTGTCGGGCAGCAGCCCCCGGCGCCGCCGCCGCAGCGCCAGCGCCAGCATGGCCAGCACCGTCAGCAGGAAGAGGATGAAGAGCTGGCCCTCGGTCACCAGGTACCTGCGGGGAGAGCGCCCCGAGAGATCCCGGGCTCGTGGGATCTGTGGGAGCCTGGGATCCCAGGGAGAGGGATCCCGGGGTCGTGGGATCTGTGGGAGCCTGGGATCCCAGGGAGAGGGATCCCAGGTTTATGGGATCGGCCGGGAGCCTGGGATCCCAGGGAGAGCGATCCCGGGGTCGTGGGATCTGTGGGAGCCTGGGATCCCAGGGAGAGCGATCCCGGGTTTATGGGATCAGCCGTGAGCCTGGGATCCCAGGGAGCGCGATCCCAGGGTTGTGGGATCGGCCGGGAGCCTGGGATCCCAGGGAGAGGGATCCCGGGGTCATGGGATTGGCCGGGAGCCTGGGATCCCAGGGAGAACATTCCTGGGTTTATGGGATTATGGGATCAGCCGTGAGCCTGGGATCCCAGGGAGAACATTCCTGGGTTCATGGGATCTGTGTGAGCCTGGGATCCCAGGGAGAGCGATCCCGGGGTCGTGGGATCCCAGGGAGAGAGATCCCAGGGTCATGGGATCGGCCGGGAGCCTGGGATCCCAGGGAGATAATTCCTGGGTTCATGGGATTGGCCGGGGTCCTGGGATCCCAGAGAGAGCGATCCCGGGTTTATGGGATCAGCCGGGGTCCTGGGATCCCAGGGAGAGAGATCCCGGGTTCATGGGATCGGCCAGGAGCCTGGGATCCCAGGGAGAACATTCCTGGGTTCATGGGATCTGTGTGAGCCCGGGATCCCAGGGAGAGCAATCCCGGGTTTATGGGATTATGGGATCTGTGTGAGCCTGGGATTGCACGGAGAGGGATCCTGGGTTTTCATGGGATCGGCCGTGAGCCTGGGATTCCAGGGAGAGAGATCCCGAGTTTATGGGATCAGCCGTGAGCCTGGGATCCCAGGGAGAACATTTCTGGGTTTATGGGATTATGGGATCTGTGTGAGCCTGGGATCCCAGGGAGAACATTCCCAGTTGTTCTGGGATCACAGGGAGAGCATTCCCAGGTGTTCTGGGATCAGTTTTGATCCTGGGATCCCAGGGAGGACATTCCCAGCTTTTTTGGGATCATGCTGATCCTGGGATCCCAGGGAGAGCATTCCCAGCCCCACAGAGCAACAGCTGCCCGGGGGAATGGAGCAGCTCTCCCTGGTGAATTCCTGGGGAATTCCTGGAGTATTACTGGGGTATTCCCAGGGTATTC